GCCTCCGCGCGCGGAACTCTGGACCTGCCTGCCTGCCGGCTTTGGGACAACGGGACGCGGGAGGCGCCAGGTTGAATTTTGGGCAGAGGAGGGCTGGGTGGCCGGTCCCGGGGCCTCCGAGGGAACGCCCACTCCGTCCTAGCTCAGGCCGGGCTTGGTCGTGGGACTTGTAACTCCACGGGCCAGGCCTCTGGGTGTGATTGCACAATCCTGTGAGATCTCTACCCCACCTCCAAGGCGCTGAGCTTGGGACGTGCCCTCTCTGAGGCCGGCTCCCACCTGTGCTCCCCTGCCGACCGGTCGCTGAGCCCCAAGGTCCACAGAGGGTCCAAAAAGCGGCATCTCCGCAACATGGGGTTGTTAAGGGGGTAGGAGAATAAATGAAACAAGATGGGATTGGGAGGGAGACAAACCATAAATGACTCTTAATCTCACAAAACAAACTGAGGGTTGCTGGGGGGAGGGGGGTTGGGAGAGGGGGTGGGGTTATGGACATTGGGGAGGGTATGTGCTATGGTGAGTGCTGTGAAGTGTGTAAACCTGGCAATTCACAGACCTGTACCCGTGGGGATAAAAATATATTATAGGTTTATAAAAAATTAAAAAATAAATAAAAACATAAAAAGCGGCATCTCCTTCCCAAAGTCCCCCGTAGGTGCCTCCTCTCCCCTTCTCTTCTGCACAAAGTCGCTGAGCTGCAGAGACACCCTCCCTCGGCCTCTCTGGGCTTTGATGCCACTTGCCTGGGTTCTGATCCTGCTCCGGCCACTAACCCCGAGTTTGACAGGCTCACCTGGGCTGGAACAGTGATGAGGCTGCCTCCCACGACTGTCTGAGTGCTCGGGGAGAACCGACGTTCTCCCCGGTGCACTGGGAGAGACGGCAAGTGAGAGCAATGGTGTGGGATCCGTAGCCCTGGTCCTGGCACCAGGACAGAAAGCACCGTGTGCTTCAGGGGTGTCTCTGGCCGCCCATGACTGGCTCCTCCTGGTCCTGATGGCCTCTTTCCTTCCTACGCTTGAGCTCATACTTCTAGCACCAGATAAGCAACCTGTTTCACACCTTGGCACCTTTGCTCCTGCCGTGCCCCCTGCCAGAAGCACACACACCCGCTGCACACGGCCACGGGCCACACAGACACTCCGGAAACACGCCATACACGTACACGCTCACACGCCACACACACACACTCCTATGCACTCGCAGGGAGTGAAGTCTAACTTCTTGTTAAGATTCCCTTTACTTAAGGTGTCACCTCCTCCAGGATGCCTTCCTGGACTCTGCCCCTCACAGAGGCAGGTGGGGACATCTTCGAGGTTCTTTGACCCCTCAGCCTTTCTCGAAGAGCTCCGTGGTCACCTCCTATCCTGGAACCCCTGACGCAGTTTACTGCACACTCCGCTGCGGTGTGCGCCTTATGGGTCCATGTGGGTGAGCTTGTCAGCAGACCCTGTCAGGCTTGGACAACAGCAGGGAGCTCGGTAACCCGATGCCCTTCCTTTCAGATCACCTTGACCTAACTTGAATCCAGGGAGGGCGAGGCCCCATATTCTCCCTGGGCTTGACCTTGGGTCAGCCCGGGAGCTCCCAGCCAGCCCACCTCGACAGTGCCCGGCCAGGGGCCTCGGTGCTTCTCAAAAGGCATCTGTGCTGAGAGATTCTTCTCACAGGAGGGGTGCCAGGGGCGCAGAACCCAAGCTGTTGGTCAGCAGGTCCTGGGGAGTCGTGCACTGACCCCAGGCAGGGTGGGGGCAGGGGTGGGCAGCAAGGGCCCCCGGGGCAGCACTGTGTCCTTTGCAGACCAGGATCCCTGACACCACTCTCCCTTAGCTCTTTTCAGAGGAAGGAAGTTTCCAGGGAGCCGTCGCCCCTCTTTGGCAGCAGAGGTGAACCAAATCCTCCTCCACACTGGGCCTCCAAGACCAGCAGGTCCTACCCTGGTCCTCAGTCCAGATGGGAGAAACCCCAGGGAACAGGAACTCCACAGAGGGAGAACCCCAGGGGAAGCTCCCCACAGAGGGCTGGTAGGTGAGGAGGCAGACCCTAGAGCACATACCCAAGGCCGATCATGGCGGGCAAGTCAGTGGTGCTTCATGGATGTTCATGGAAAGGACATGACTTGAACTTCAGCCCTCTCCATCTGGGGGTGATCACTCTCGCCGCAGTAATGGGGATAGTGGTGGTCACAGGTACAGGGCCTGTGCAAGCACGGGGATGTCCCTGATTTCCACGCCCATGGTGCCGGCTACTGAGGGCCACACAGACCTGCCACATGGCCCGCAGAGAGCCTTGGAGCTCATGGGCAAGAGGGTCCGGGCCAAGGTGTCCGGATGCCCAGGGCCCAGCCAGAGCCCATGGAGAATAAAGACTGGGTTAGTGCTGAAGCCCTCCAGCGGGGAGCCCATAGGCCCCTGTGGAGCCAGGACGGCTCAGCGACAGAGCTATGGACAGAGTCATGATGAGCAATGAGGAGCCAGATTTAGGACTGAGGGGAAGGAGTCAGCCAGGGCCCCCTGCTGGCTGGCAGTCTGGAAAGGCTGCCTGGAAGAGGAGGCATTGGACCCGGCCTTGGAAGGTCATTAGGATTTGAGAAGGGGAAGGAAATTCCCTCCAAAAGACCAGGAGATGCCCAGGAGCACATGAGACGCACTGGAAGGAAAGAGTCGTTGTTTGGGGCAGAGAATGGGGAGGCGGGACAGGGAAGCCAGCTGGCCTCGGGCCCTTCCCAGCTCAGGCAGAGGAGGAGCAAAGCAGGTATAGAACAGAGGAGCCCAAACTGCACTGTGGGCCCCCGGGCTGGTGGCTGGGGCGTGAGGGAGCTGGGGAGGACTGGATCCCAAGATCTGGGCAGTTCTGGGGGCCTCAGAGCCAGGCAGGGAGGCCGGAAGAGAAGAAAGGTGCAGGAAGCTGGAGCCTGGTGATGGGGTGACAGTCAGTGGTCAGAGGCAGGAAGGCGGCCACACAGAGCCTGGAATTGGGGCGCTCTGAGATGTGTGGATTCTGCCTGGTTCTTGGCTGCTGGGTGAGGGCGCCACGGAGATCAGAGATCGGCGCAAGGGGCGCCTGGAGGCGGGCAGAGGGGAGCGGGGCAGGGCCTGCCAGGGATCTCTCCCAGGTTTGGGGAAAATGCACCCCCCCCCCCGCGCAGTCCAGGCTCTTGGGACAGGAGAGATGACAGTGGTTGCTGGTGGCGGGGCCAGGGTCCGCACCGAGCGCCCACGGAACCCCAGGCACCGTCCTCACCATGGCCTGAGACCCAGGATCTGCCACCCCCTGAGCTGAGTCGGCAGCCCAGAGAGGGCCAGCCCCGAGGCGGGGGGCGCACCACGGGCCAGCAGCGGGACAGGGCCGAGCCCCGCGGGGCCTCACCATGCGCTCGCCACCCCCCTGCAGGGAGCCGCGAGGCCGCCTTCACCTATGCCATCACCGCGGCTGGCGTGGCGCACGCCGTCACGGCCGCCTGCAGCCAGGGGAACCTGAGCAACTGCGGGTGTGACCGCGAGAAGCAGGGTTACTACAACCAGGCCGAGGGCTGGAAGTGGGGCGGGTGCTCCGCCGACGTGCGCTACGGCATCGACTTCTCCCGGCGCTTCGTGGACGCCCGCGAGATCAAGAAGAACGCGCGGCGCCTCATGAACCTGCACAACAACGAGGCCGGCAGGAAGGTAGGGCGGGCGGCCCGGGTTGGTGGGGGGCGGGGGGGCGGGGGCGCGGCTGCGGCCTCACCTGGGTTCTCCTTCCCCACCTGGGGGGTGCTTGGGGGCCTGGACCCTGGAGGTGTGTGGTGGGGGGCACTGGGCACGACGACCCGTCTGACCCTCCTGGCAGCTCTAAGGTTCCCATTCCAGAGGTCTGAAGACTGAGGCTGGGGGTGGGACTCTGGTTCCCAGTGGCGGGTGGCAAGGCTGAGACCAGGACTGAGTGTGGGGGTGGCCCCTGGGCCATAGTTCCGTGTCCCTGCCCTGGTACCAGACGGGTCGTACCAGCACACTGGGAAAGCTTCCTGGAGGAGGCCACCTTTGGCTCAGACTGCCTGCAGGACTGAAGGAAGGGATGTTCCCAGGAGGCAGGAGCAGCCTGAGGAAGGGCGGAAACCCCAGGAGCCGCCAGCCTCACACCCGGGGCGGAGCAGCACGGTGGGGCAGTAACAGAGGAGGTCCGGGCAGGACCACACTGGGGCAGAAGTCAGGGCGAGCCCGGCCCCGCCTCAGGGAGATGAGGGCCCCAGATACTGGGCTGGGAGGAGCGGCCACCATGGCGGCAAGATGGCCCGAGATAGGGCGCCGGCCGAGCGGAACGCCTCTCCAGGTCTGGCTCCCCAGCCCCAGGGGCTGCACCCCGGGCACCAGGCCCTGCGGGTCTCTGCAGGCGCGGGACAGACTTGCCTGCCTCTGCCCCAGGGACCACAGTGAGCCAGTTGCACACTCGTTCACTCAACAAACACTCCTTGTCCCTTCTCTGGGCCAGGCGTTAGCTGGGCCGGGCACAGGAGAGGAGGCGGAGGAAGACGCAGCACAAGCCTGGTCCACATGAGGGCTGCAGAGGACGGTACCCTGGGGCAGTGAGAGCAGGGAGACCCTGGGGGGAGGGAGCAGAAGCTTTCTGGGGGTGGTGATGTCCAAGCAGAGCCTTGAAGGACTCACCAGCGCTGAGAAGAGCCCAGGCAGGAGTGGGTGCTCGGGGCAGGGGCTGCCCAAGGAGTAAGCAAAGCCCGGCCTGGGACAGCCTTGAATGCCAGGCCAAGGGGTCGACTATCTTGTAGACATAAGCAGCCAGTTGTTATTAAATGATTGTGAAACGAATGGACAGACAGACAGATAAAAGAAGGAGTAACACAGTCTGTGCCTCCAAGGAGCTCACAGGCAGCTTGTGAGTATAGTCAGGTCTCCACCTGTGCCGGGAGAGGCAGAGGAAGGCAAGGCATGAGGAGGGCTCCCCGGAGGAGGAGGTGTGCGGAGCCCTGAGTGGGACCGCTGGCCCTTGAGCCTCTGCAGTAGCTTAGGTCCTGACGCAGGGTTTTCTAACACCCCTGGGAAGAAGGTCTCACCATCTCATTTCACACATGAGGACGTGGAGGCCCATAGTGGGCAGCCGACGCCCTGACGGCTCCCGTGGCCTGAGCTCTGATAAGTGCTTGGTGGGAAGAGTCTGAGGAAGCCGCAGAGACATGGGGAAGCGCCCTCCAGGCGGAGGGAGCAGCACCAGTGAGGCAGGGTTGGGAGCCGGGGTGGGTGGGGTGGGGGCATGCCTTGGGTCGCGTGTACGGTGCCGGGGGGCTGCTGGCCCAGCTCAGGGCGTCCGGGCAGGCGAGCGGGCTGGTGCGTGGATAGGCCTCCCGGTGCAGGGGGCCAAGGCAACGCTGGATTCTGGCTGGATTCTGGGCCGTAGGCGTCATGGCAGGGGGCCTGGGTGCGGGAGGGTCAGCACGTCAGGTTTTGAACCGCGAAGCTGTGAACTGAGACGGGGAGTAGGGGAGAGGCGGGTTGTGGGGAGAGGACCCAGCAGGGCAGGGAGGCTGCAGGAAGGGCTGCAGGAAGGATTCTGGGGCTAGCACCACCCCTCCCTGTCTGTTAGTCCCCTCCTGCCTCAGTCTGCTCCTCTGCGCAATGGACATGATGCACCTTGTCCTCCTCCCCGAGGGCCTTCCCGCCACCCCCGAGCCCGAGCTGTGGAGCACACGTGCGGCCTGAGCCCTTGGCAAAGGACACTGGTGGTGGCAGCCATGACCCTGCAGGGCAGGGGGCCTTCGGCTCCCCACAGCACTGATCATGGTGGGGTGGGGGCAATGGCTTTTGAGGTTTCCATAAGAGCTGAGTCTGGACCTTCTTTCTGGTCCCATCAGAGTATGTCCCAGCTACGTCTGACTCTCCGGAGCCAGAGTTCAGCAAGTTGGGTGGGAAGCAAGCTCACCGGGGCCACTTGAAGTCCCACGGCCTGAATGGCTCAAAGCAACAGAAATTTATTCTCATAGTTCTAGAGCCAGAAGTCCTAAACCCAGGGGTCAGCAGGGCCGTGCCCTCTGATGGCTCCGGGGGAAAACCCTGCCTGCCTTTTGGTGGCTCCTTGTCTTGTGGCTTCATAATCCTGTCTGCCCCCATCTGCACATGGTCTCCAGCTCTGGGTCTGATTTCTTTTCTGTCCCTTACAAGGACACCTGTCCTTGGGGTTAGGACACACCCTGATCCAGGATAACCTCCTCTCGAACCTTAATTACACCTGCAAAGGCTTATTTCCAAACAAGGTCGAATCCTGAGGTTCCTAATGGGGAGATACTGTTCAGCTCACCAGGTCCCTGGTGGGCTAGGGTCAGACAGGCTGAGCAGGAGACCCACGTACCACCAGCTTCTGCGAGATTGACACCAGGGCCGCCCTGCCCAGGCCTCCCCTGGACAGCGTGGCCTTTACTGAGCAGTTACCCTGCTGTGTGGTCCCGACGGGATGGGCGGGAGCAGTTGGGTGCAGAGGGAGGCCATGCCGGAGTAGCAGATCTTTGCGTCTACTGCCCTGTAAGGCAGGAGCCTGCCTAGCTTGGGAGGTCTGCTGTTGGGATGTCCCTGGGCTCTTCCTGTGGGTGACAGAGGTCTAAAGCCATCGCTGACGAGGGTCCCAAGCCCTGGGAGCTCATGCAGGACCCCCATTAGGGGGCCACAGCCCTAACCTGACCTCATCTTGGGTCCAAGCTGGTCCTGCCCCAGGGGGCACACCATTCTGGATGAAAACCCAGGGTCCAGGAGGGGTGACTTATGCAAAGTCCCTGGTAGAGAAGCTGCTGGCCACACTGGGCCCCCAGGTGGGGGGAGGGGGCACCTGACTCCCTCTCTCCCTTGCTTGGTGCCCACGCCCAGCTCAGAATGTGGCCTGGGCAAGAGGGTGAAGCCGACGTGGGCCTTGCCATCCCCCCACCCCAGGCCTCACACACCCAGGTCAGGGTCAGAGGGTCAGGCCACCACTGAGGCCCCACAAACAAATGTGTGAGGTGTATGTGCTGCTTCCATCCCTCCTGCCTGAGGCCAGTGCCCAAGTGGCGGGTCATGTGCCTTCTGTGGACGAGAGGATACTGTGACCACCACGCCCCCACCCCTTCAGCCTGGCCACAACTGAGCACTGTTCCCAGAGCCTGGGCCACGCCCTTATTCCAGAAAGAACACCAGGTTGGCCTTTTCCTGGAGGCCCCTGTTCCATCCCCGACACACCTGGGTCGGGGGAAACCGAGGCCCCACTTCTCTGGGCGAGGTTGGGTCACGCTGCACCCTCCCAGGTGGTCTCCTGGGGCAGCAGGGCTGGCGCCACCATCACTGTCACTCTTATCTCGAGGGCGCTGGAGACGGAAACGGCACATTCTTGAATCCTGTGATCACTTCCCAGGACAGGCTCGGTCCCCGGGGACCCAGCCAAGCGAGGATGCGGCTCCCCGCTCGCAGACAGCTGCCCAATCGGCTTCATCGGCCCACCATCCCGGCCTGGCCGCGCGCGGTCTGAATGTGCCTGGGCGGGCAGTGGGGGTGGGGCCGCCTGGCCTTGGTGAGGACAGGGAGATGGGGGCAGGGCGGGGGCGGGGGTAGCCTGGGCCACTTGGCCTGGACAGCCCTGGCGGGTCTCAGGCCATCACAGCCTGTCGGAGGAGGCATCTCCTGGGCCAGCATCCCAGTGCACTGGGGACTCTGAGAAGGCCATCCATCGGGTCAGCTCTTGGCCTGAGGGTCGTACGTGGCAGGCAGTGTGGTCAGGGCAAGAAAAGCTTGCTGGCCTTGAAGGGTGGGTTGGTGGGGGAAGGGTCTTTCTGGGGAGGGGAGGGTTGAAGCAAAGATGAACATGGGGTACGGGTGAGGAAGGGGAAAGGATGGACAGGAGGGCAGGGAGAGGGGCAGGAGGCAGACAGGATGTGCTATCCCCCAGAGGGGGTCTCCCCCTCCATAGACCCCCAGGGCAGACTTCTGGTCCATGCCTCAACCCAGACACCCCATGGCTCTGTAATTCCAGCTTGGAATATTCCTTCCTCTTGACAGTGGGGCCCTCCCCTGCTCAGTCCTCCCCATCAGCCTCCCCTCCTTCCCCCCATCCCAGCCCCCCAGGTCTCCCCCCCAGGACATCATCCACAGGATGCTGGACCAGGCAATCCCACCCACCCCCACCCACCTCACATCCAGGACACCATCCTCAGGGGCCACCCAGCACCCACGGGATGCTTATGTGGGCTGAAGCTCTCCTCCACAGACCTTGTCTGCCCCCCACCCCTCCTGGAGCATTGTCCTCTCTGCCCAAATTAGCAGCTCGTCTTCCTCCATCCACACTCCATGCAGGCACCCCTCCTGCGGGAAGCCCCTTACCACAGCAGGGGCCGGCCCCTGGAGCCCCCACCCTGGATGGTTTGCGTAGGCTTCTTCTTCCGTTCCCCGTGCTGGACTGTGGGTCCCCGAGGTCCTTGCCCAAGACCAGGGCCCCTTGACGGCAGGGCAGGGAAAGTGATCAGGATAGTGGCGGGCCCTGTGGGCTGTTCCTCTCATTCATTCATTCATTCATTCCCTGTGGGTCTCCTCGTCTGGGCCAGGGCTGGGGTTCTGGCCCAGGAGGCGGGGGGTGGCCAAGTTCCCTCCGGGTGGGGCTGCCCAAGTGAGGCCTGTGGGGCCGAGACAGCTGACAAATGGTCCTTCTTCAGCCGCGGGCCGGTGGCTAATGATTCCGCATCTTTAATCAGGTCTGCTGGCAGGGCCCTTTCGATCCAGGTAAATGAGTACCTGGGGTCAGGGCTGGCTCTGGGAATCGGCCTTCCGGGACCACGGAGGGAGGCCCAAGGAAAACACACGGCTGCGCCCATCGCGGGCCCTCGGGGAGCTGGGAAGAAAGAACAACACTGTCGGGGGCCGGCTTCCCAGCAGGCGGCACGCCTGGGCCTCGCTGACCCGTGCCCTCACCCCCCGCTTGTCCCCCCACTCTGTCCTTCAGCAGACACGCACAGAGCTCCGTGCAAATACCATGTTTTCACTGAACAGCCCTTTATTAAGCACCAACTACATGCCGGGCCCTACCCTGGGCAGGAGGGCGGGAAGTACAGAGAAAGGAGAGGTGGGGACTGGCACGTCGTAAGAGCCTACTGTAGCTGGGTGGGGCTCACCGCGGGGCACCTGCACCCCACCTGGCTGGGCGCAAGCCCCAGCTTCTCCACGTGCTGCCCTGCGATGTGCAGCAAGCCGCGCGGCGCGCACCGCTGGGCCTCAGTTTCCACTTCGGCGCGTTGACCTGAAGGATTGTGAGAACTTAGTGAACCACATTTGATAAACATACGCTGAGCTCTGTCGCATCCCGGATATTCTCACTGGACCCTCACGAGGTCCTCTGCAGGGGGACCTACGGTCAGCAGCCCCATTACGTGGATGAGAAGAGGGAGGCTTGGGAGGGGGAGGCACTCAGGCGGGATCCTGCAGCGGGAAGTCCGGGTGCCGGAGCCCGCTAGGCTGGAGGCAAGGGAGGGCAGGGGCGGGGTGCCCAGGCCAGGGCCACCCATGCACACTGAGCTCCTGCCCTGTCGCCCACAGGTCCTGGAGGGGTGGGCATGGGGGTGGGGCGGGGTAGCCCAGGCCCGGGGGCCACGCACACTGAGCCCTGCCGCCCGCAGGTCCTGGAGGAGCGCATGAAGCTGGAGTGCAAATGCCACGGCGTGTCGGGCTCGTGCACCACCAAGACGTGCTGGACCACGCTGCCCAAGTTCCGCGAGGTGGGCCACATGCTCAAGGAGAAGTACAACGCGGCCGTGCAGGTGGAGGTGGTGCGGGCCAGCCGCCTGCGGCAGCCGACCTTCCTGCGCATCAAGCAGCTGCGCAGCTACCAGAAGCCCATGGAGACGGACCTGGTGTACATCGAGAAGTCGCCCAACTACTGCGAGGAGGACGCGGCCACGGGCAGCGTGGGCACGCAGGGCCGCCTATGCAACCGCACGTCGCCGGGCGCGGACGGCTGCGACACCATGTGCTGCGGCCGCGGCTACAACACGCACCAGTACACCAAGGTGTGGCAGTGCAACTGCAAGTTCCACTGGTGCTGCTTCGTCAAGTGCAACACGTGCAGCGAGCGCACCGAGGTCTTCACCTGCAAGTGAGCGCCCCGCCGGCACGCATGCGCACACCGCTCAGCGCGCCCCCGCCGCCCCCCACTGCGGGGGCCCCTTTCAGCCCCGCTGGTCACTTCCTGTGGCCGAGCCTTGTCCCGGACCAGCCGAGAGGTGTCCCTCTGGGGCCTAGGGAGTTCCTACTTTTCTCTGGGGAAGCGAACCCTCCGGGACTCGAGCGTCTCCTCCCCCGCCTGGTGGCACGGACGACGTGGAAATGCCATGCGGGCCGGCCGACGCCACGCGGGACCCCACGCGGGACTGTCCCCCTGGCCGCACCCGCTGCCCGGGGCCTCGGGGTGGCCCGGGCAGATGTTGACCAAGTTTATTTATGTGTCGTTAGTATCAGAGAAGAGTAGCACTAAGGCATAGCCAGTCCTAACTGTACCCCGTGTGAGCGCAGCCCCTGGGGCCCCCGCTTGCTCCCCCGTCTCTGGACCCGAGGGAGCATCCCCTGTGCACAGCACCCTCTGGCCCTGCCCCGAGAGGGCCTCTGAGGAGAGCCACGGACAGGGGCCCTTCTTGAAAATCGTATCACACAAATCAAAATGTCACCCACGTCAGGCTCCAGGAGAGCTGCGTCCCCTCCCTAATGCTGTCGTCCATGCCCCCCCCCCCCCCCCCCCGGGCCCCTGCCAGCCCAGCAGCCTCAGTTTACAGAGCCCACTCCTGCCTGGAGCCAGCGGGAAGCCTTGGACAGCCCTGCACTGGCTGGCGGTGGCCTGGCGGGGTGGGGGGCGGTTCAGGGGTGTCTGCCTTCTTTGACAGATGCAGACACTGAGTCCCTAAAGGGCTCCAGAATGAGCCAGAGACCCTGAAGTGATGAGCGGAGGCTCCTGCCTTGGCTCAGGCATCCTAACCCTGGGCAACATGCTCTGGAGACACCCAGGGTGGCTTGAGACTGCCCCCATGTTTTGAGAAATCTGGCTGTACCCCTCCTTCCCTGCCACCAGCCGCACAGGGACCTGTACCCCCAGAGATGCCTGCTGGGGCTTCTCTATGGCCTCTGTGTCCAGTCCTACTCCTTGGGCCCCGACTCCAATGCTGAGAAAGCTCAGAGCCAGCCTGCTATCCGGCTGTCCCGGCAGGTGTCTGCCCTCCAGACCCCTCCCCCAGGGTACCTACCTGCACACCCTCCCCTGAAGTTCAACTCACCCTCAAACTTGAGAGGGGGCCCTGCTCAGGTCTCATGTGCGGGGTGGGCAGAGACCAGAACCCCGGGACTCGGGGCTGACGTGTCCTCTGCGAACACGTCCACCCTCCCTTGGGGAGTGGCTTGCCGGCAAGGGTGGTGTGCGGCTGGCTTCTGGTGTGTTGCCCTCCGCTGCTCGTGTGTCCACCCTCCGCCCACAATTTAGGTTATTTTCATGCAGAAACCTGTGGAAATGTGTCCTCAGGCAGCTGACAAGCCAAGTGGGCCCGACATTAGCCTGGGGTGAGTGACACTCTCTGGGCCCTGGCCCTGGCATCTACCCCGTGGTGACGCCAGGACTCTCCATCAGCTGCTGTTCCTGGCACCTCCAGGCCACGGTGAATGCCCCGCCCCGGTCCCCCTCCTCTCCGGGTCCCAGGACACTCCTCCGAGTCCACAGGCCCGGTTAACTTATATTGTTATATAGCGTCAAAATGTCTATCGTGTCTTTTAAATTATTGTGACCTACACTGGGTACTGGAGGGAGGGGACAGCCTCATGCAGTGCCCTGAGCCAGGCTCCTCCTTCTGCTTGAAATGGACTCTTGGGGCCCCGGATGCCATCGAGTCACACGTATTATCCAGGCGCCTCTGCTGAAACCCTCCTCAAGAGCCTGTCAGCGGCAGCCCCTCCCTCAAGTGAAAGGGGGTCAGTGTGGCCTGGGTGGGGCGGGGGCGGTCGGGGCACTGCGTGTCCCCAAGGCCCTCCTACTTGAAGAGAGCTGGTGGGTTTTGGATGGGCTGTGTCCTGCCTTCCCCGGAGGGGAGCGTCCAGTCCCAATAAAGCTGGAATCAGAAGTGAGTGTGTGTGGAGCCCACGCGACGCCCTTGCAGCTCTCCCCCCTGGGGGTGGGGACGAAAGTGCTGTCCACGGGGGACCCTGAGGCTCAAGCCCCCTTGGCCCTCAGGGGCCTCACCTTTCTGACTTCCTTTCCCCTCTGTGCAGGCTGAGTAGGCACTGTGCCCATGCACCTCTGTCCTCACACGTTGCCCAGGTTCCAGGGGAGGCCTTGAGTCATACAAGCCTTCAGGCACCTTTGGGGGCCACCGCACCCAGTAGGGGCCACCGGTGGTGGCTGGAAACAGATGCTGGGTTGCTGGACAGCCCGGGCTGTCTCTGGACAGCCTGGGCTCAGGGTATGGGAACAGGAGGCCACAGGTCTGGTGCCAGAACCAACTCATGGGGCTGGGTGAGGGCTGTTCTTAGGAGAAAGGGGGGCTTGAGGGTAGAGGACCCACAGCCAGGAGGCCTGGTTCCATCCATCTGTCTCCTTCTGCTTTGGACCCCAACTGGTCTCGGGATCCCTATGGGTCTATCCGTTGTGTCTGGTGGATTTTTGCTCAGGTGCCCCCCTTGGGTGCTTCTAGTCCCTTCCAGGCTTGGGAAGACAGCCCAAGGTCCCTGGGAGCCCAGCAGCCCCTGGCTGGCCACCAGGCCTTGCTGCTTCTCCTTGGAGGCCTGGGTGCCGCCGGGCCCCTGCACTCGCGGTGGCCGTGTGAGCACAGAAGGATGAATGGCATTCCTGCTGAGGGCTGGAAGGCATGCGGTGGGGCCGGTTTGGCCACTGCCCGCTGTCCCGGCAGCCTGGCATCGGGCGGAACCGCTGATCAAACAAGGCCCCGTCCACACTGTGCCCGCCGGGGCACCCACGGAGCCTGGCCCCAGACCCAGACCCCAGCGGAGGAGCCACCCGGTGGGGTTCTGAAGGAGGACGTGTCCCTGGAGGGTGTGGAGACAGGGAGATGGATGTAGAAAACTCTGGACTTGGAGCCCAAGCCCAACCCTTCCGACAGCCAGGCATGGGTAACCTCTAGGGTGGCCCTGCCCAATCTATAGCCTCAGTTTCCCCATCTGAGAGCAGGAGGTGGCCTGGGCCAGCACTGGGTGGTTAGTGGGGCCCGTGGGGCCTGCGCCTGGGCCAGGCAATTTGGCAGGAGGCCCCGGTTCCCTGCGAGACGGTAAGCAAATCCGAGGTGGCTGCAGCCGGGGTCCGGCTACTCCCACAGGGCCAGGAATGAGGAAAGAGCTCCGAGAATGCCCCGGCCACGGTGCCCAGACTGTACTTACTTCTTGGCTATGGTTCAACCCCAGCCCCAGCCTCCCAGGGCCACCTGGCACATCCTCCGAGGGGCCCTGCCTGAGGTGTGGAGCTCACACCGCCCAGCCTGCCTGGGGGCCTACCTGACCCCCAGCCCCGGGCTCCGCCTCTGAGGCTACAGTTTTAGAGCATCCCCAGACAGCCTCCATCCCCCGCAAGGGCTAGTTCCCCTCCGCATGGCGCCCCTGCCTCCTGGGCTCCAGGCGCCCTGCTCTTAGCTGGGCATGCCAGGTGCCTGACTCCCTCTTCACGATGGCCCAGGGGTGTTCCTTCCCCAGACTTGCCTTCCCACTGTGCTCCAAGAGGCGGTCACCAGGTGCCAGATGTTGGCAGACTATGAGGCATTCATTCATTCCTTGCTCATTCGCTTGTTCTGTGGTGCTGGAGGCTGCGCCCTGGGTTGGGCCCTGGGAACAGTGGCGGCTTACACCTGGCCTTGACCTCCCGGGGCTCTGGCTCTTCACTCGGCTCTCCTGCCCTGAGTGGCAGCCTATTCTCAGGGGCAGCCCCTGGCTGAGACAGCCTGACAGATAGGAAAAGGCTTTGGGTGGGTGCTTGCATAACTCCGGGCCTCAGTTTTCCTCTCCAGAATGGGTATAGGGAAGCAAGTGGTGCCTGGTCCAGCCCACCTCTCTCTTTCTGTGTGTGGAGGGTGCCTCTGCCCACACTTGGCTCACAAGCTGGGCTTTAGCACCAGGACCCCTCCACCTGTGGCCCCGGCCCCCCGCAGGTCAGAGCTCACAGGTCTCACAGGTTGCTCCTTGGTGGGGCCTTCAGAGTCCTTCCTAATCCTCTGTCTCATCTCCTAAGCCCATCTCCACCCTGCCTCCACGCAGATCCCCCTGCCCTGCCGGCAAGCCAGCCCTTCCCAGAGCTCCCCGTGGAGCTCCACACCACCCCCTGCCCCTGCCTGGCCTCTCCCCCACGAGCTGTGCCCTCTGGCCGGGAAGGCCTTTCTACCACATCTCTTGCCCACCCCCCCTTCCCATAATGCTCACTTTCCAGCAAACTTGTTGGGGCCCTGATGTTTCCTTTACCCTCCACCCAGTTTCTCTGCTGATGGAGAGGGGGCTGCTGCTGTGACTGTCCCTGCACCCAGCAGGTCTAGGGAGCTTAGAAGTGAGAGGCTCTGTGGAACCCTGAACACTCACCATGCCAGACACGGGGTCTGGTTCACAGTACCCACCATCTTCACAATACCCCTTCCCTACATAGGTCAGTGCTAGCTCTGTTTTACAGGTGGGAAAACCCAGGCACAGAGAATGGAGGGTTCTGCCCAAGGTGACACAGCCAGCAGAGGCAACGTCAGGTTTTGAACTGTGCTCTGGGGTCTTCCTTCTACCTGATTTATATGCCTCCTCCCACCAGGGGAAACTGAGGCCCTGGGACCTTGCCTAAGGCTGTACAGAGACGAGCGGGAAGGGAATGGCCGAGGCAGGTCCTGGGGTGGTGGTGATGGCCGTGTTCTGCCTCCGCCGAGGACGGAACAAGAAAGACTGGGTTGAAGGCCGCGGGCAGGATCTGGGTTAGAGTCTGGACGAACTTCGCAACTCCCAGAGCTGGAGGCAGACGGGCTGGGGAAGAGAGGTGAGCGGAAGCTGGAGCTCTTTGCACTCAGGCCAACAGGGGAAGTGTGAGTTCCCCTGAGCAGAGCGGCCAGGGCTGCTCCTGGAGGCACCAGGCCAGGAACGGGGCCGCCAG